CAATTTTATATACCAAACTACTTATAGTAAACATTGAAAATAATATTTACCCATAAACTAGTAGGTTTTTCTCGACTCTAAAGCACTCAGTTCTTCCGTAGCCATTGGAACGGTCACAGGGTCTCCGAAGTTTGGGCTTTTCATCTCCTTCACTTTCAGCTTCAGATAATTCAGCCAATTCATCTTTCGTGGCACTAAAGGGTCTTGTTTGCTTCCTAATTCTTGGAGTGTCAATAACCAAGCTGTTCTATAAAATTTAACAGCTATTACTTAAAGGTTTTTTTATGATTTTGCTTATAACAATGTTCTACATTTTCACTTTTCAAATTGTGCAAACAATAATTACAGAAAGCTAGAAAAAAAAATTACTAATGATTTCACCAATCTATCAAATCAACTTAAGATTTCTCATATTCCTTTAAAATTCTTACTAGCACTTATGTATAATTTTATGACACTATAGCCATAGGATAAAAAGAATTTGGTATTTTGCATTATTACTGATATAGATGTTATTGTGCTACAACAATCATAAAATATATTTTAAGCTGAATTTATGCTTCATAATTTTAATTCATAATTTAGTTTAGACTTTTTTCAATTTTTAAAATAAATAATGCTACAGTAAATCTTTGTGACGTAAGTTTATCCTAAAGATAAATCCAAAAGAAGGGAATACCTAGGAATGGAAATATTGGTCAAAAGTTGTGAATATTTTACAATGCTTTCCAAAAGAGTTATACTAATATACAAAAAGCAAGGCAATAAATCTATTAACCTACGTTCAATTCGGTTTAATTCATTCAAAACAACTTAAACTGACACACTTTTTGCCTTTACTGAGAAACTTCTCTACGTTAGGGCTACGTTAGGGCTGTGGATATAAAGATGAGTAAGACAGTTTCTGCTCATAAGGAATCCATAGTCTTGAGGGTCAGACAAATGTGTAAATAAATGTTATTCAGAATGAAATATTTTATGATACAAGATGGGTACAAAGGAAGTCAGAGAAAACTTCACAAAACTTGTAGTATTAACTAGAAAGAATTCTTGGAGAATTAGAAGTAGTTTGCCAGGCAGCAAGGGAAGAGATAGCATTAGAAGCAGAGGAAGGAGGAAGGGGCCTGAAATGGCATCTGATTGATGTTCAGGAAACGCTAACATCCTAAAGCAGAAGAGGATTAATGGTAGAAGAGAAAGCAGGGACCAGACCACGAAGGTGCTGGCATATCATAATACATACATAGCGCATTGTATTTAAGGGGGCACATGATGTTAATATGTCTTATTACTGGCTTTTCCACTATAAAGTTACTAGTTTTCCTTCTGTAACTAATAAATATTTTGAAAGATATGTTTTGAGAATACATAAATATTCTGTTTCTCCTTAAACTTTCACCCACTAATCTTAGAATTCAGTGATGGATCTTGTCTGTTACAATTATTACCATGGTGGATTAATGGTGATTTTCTATTTCCCTCATTCCTTCTACATTTATTAAATAGAATTTAATAAACAGAAGAGTTGTCCGTTTTCCCCTTTTTCCTCTTCCCAGTTTCTTTTAAAAATAGTATGTTTTTCCTGAGTAAAGTTTTCAATGTCTTTTGTCCATAATCTTTTGAGATTCTGATAAATTTCTGATCAACTTATATTGCCTTTTACAAAATAAAAACATTACCTTTCATACACATATCTGCTACAGTGTCAGCAGTCTGACTGTGCTTCCATTTTTCCGTTGCATAATTCTGTCTTACATAGTTGAACATGCTAATCATTTCCTTTGTGATTTCTAATTTAGAATATTTTCCCACCAAATATTTGAAATCTAGTTTCTTCTATTTTTCATGCTTTGATCAAAAAGTATTATGAAACTTTTAATCACAAATTAGAGTTTACATGGTATAGAGCTAGTATTATAATATTCCCTCCAATACTAACCCAATATCCTAATTACCATTTATTAAGTAATCCTGCTTTCTTTAATACTATTTCTATATTAAAATCTTATAATTTGGTTTTTTTTTTTTTTTTTTTTTGAGACAGAGTCTCACTCCATTGCCCTGAGCAGAATGCTACAGCGTCAGCCTAGCTCACAGCAATCTCAAACTCCTGGGCTCAAGCGATCCTCCTACCTCACCTCAGCCTTTTGAGTAGTTGGGACTACAGGTGCGCACCACAACACCCGGCTAATTTTTCTATTTTTAGTATAGACGGAGTCTGGCTCTTGCTTAGGCTGGTCTCGAACTCCTGAGCTCAAGCAATCCTACTACCTCGGCCACGCAGAGTGCTAGGATTACAGGGTGAGCCACATGCCTGCCCAATTTGGTTTTTCTGTTCTTATTCTATTCTTTGTTCTTTGTATCTTTCTGTTAGTATTATATTATTTAAATTACTGTTGCCTTATAATATATTGACACTATAACATAATAAGTAATGTTTGTCTTTACAGTATTTCATTTTTAGAAAATTATTTAATTTTCTACCAAAGTATAAACTAAGAATGTTATTACGCATGTATTAAATGACTATATGCTTTTATATGTTTATTTATAAAATCCTGTTGATTTGACCCATGTCTTTGGTCTCTGACTTTATGTAACACCACGCTCACTAACTCAACATTCTGCCACAACGTCTTTCTCGTTTTGGAATACACTAAGCTTATTTACACCAATGGGTCACTGCCATTCCCTCTGCCTCAAAAGCTTTTACTCACATCTTCACATTGTGTTGGCTCTTTCTCATCATTCAAGTTCTCAGTACAAATGTCCCCTCAGAGTGATCTCCTTTGTTCATTTTACCTAATGCTATTTCTACTTATCCACCATTCTCTACCATCTTACTATTTTCTTCACTCTCTAAAATTATCTTATATATTTGCTTACTGCTGCCTTACCGACAAGAATGTAATTACTAATAAGTACTATTGAAAAATCATAGAGATAACATTGTAAGTATTGTTTTGTATCTCTCTCTGTCTTTGAGCTCTATATTAGTATATGGTATATAGTACATAAGGATGACCATGATTATTTTTTAAATTATTGCATTATACAGTATAAATGTACCATTGCTCTCCTATAGGAAATTTAGTTCCTAAATTTTTGTTATAATAAAAAAATGCTGCAGTGAGCATCACTGTACTACATTACCATTGTACATATATGCATACTGCAGGACAGATTCCTAAGCATGTATTAAATATTCTCCCAATGAAATTTTAAAATTATTTTGTCTAGTTATATGAAAAAATTGCTTAACATTTTGATTTGGGTTGCATTACATCTATAAATTAAAATTTCTACGTTTACAAACTAATTCTTAAAATGTTTAAAATATTCTCAACTGACAAATCTCCCAACTAAATTTCACTTTACTGAAATCATACACATCTTTCTTTAGGTATACTCCTAGGTGTTCTATATCCCTTTTTCTACTGTGAAGCAGATCTCCTCTTGCATTGTATTTTTCTACTTCTGTTAGTACTGATATTTAGGAAGGCTAAATGCCAATTTATCTTCTATCCAGTTAATTCACTAAACTCATTTATGAATTTTCATAGTATTTTGCAGATTCTACTGCTTTTTTTGGTATACGAATGTATTATATGCAATTTTATAATTATCTTTTCAAATTTATTTGATGTACACATTACATGTTTTTAATATACATTAAACAATAATAATTATGATGGCAGTAGAGTTATTCCCAATTGCAAAGCTTTACATTTTAAAAGGCTGTCTATCTAAAGAGATCCCATGTATCAATGCTTAATATAAAAGTCCTTTAATCATCTAGCTGTTACTGTGATAATAGGTAAGGCTCACAAACATTGATTCCTATACTATTATTAGATAGGTAGGTATCTTAGTAAGTAAACAGGTCTCTTAGAAAGTAAAAATGCTATTATTATCAGTTCCATAACTTCTATTTTAGTTTTTTGACCGTTTCTTTCTTAGCTCTGAGAGAAATCATAAAGGAAATAATTTTAAAATGCCATTTTCTTTTTTTTTTTTTGAGACAGAATCTCACTCTGTTGCCCGGGCTAGAGTGCCATGGCGTCAGCCTAGCTCACAGCAACCTCACACTCCTGGGCTTAAGCAATCCTCCTGCCTCAGCCTCTTGAGTAGCTGGGACTACAGGCATGTGCCACCATGCCCGGCTAATTTTTTCTATATATTTTTAGTTGTCCAGCTCATTTCTTTCTATTTTTAGTAGAGATGGGGTCTTGTTCTTGCTCAGGCTGGTCTTGAACTCCTGACCTTGAGCAATCCTCCCACCTTGGCCTCCCAAAGTGCTAGGATTACAGGCGTGAGCCACCGCGCCCGGCCAAAAAATGCCATTTTCTTGACTGCCTTTTTTCTTCTTTTATATTTTACTAGATCATTAATGGGTTCTGACACCAAAAAAACAAAATTATAAAGCAAAATAAACGTAACCTATGATTTGAAGACATCAAAAAAAATTTTAAAAACATATAATGTTAAGAATGTCGATTATGCCCAAAAGTTAAAGTTTCCCTATATTACAACCCATCATGACAGATACCAGAAGTATTAAATTGAAGCAGTGCGTGACTCAGTTTATTCTACTACCCTACTTCAACTTATGTATGTAGAAATTTACTTCAGTAACTGCACAGTTGAACATCTTAAAATACTACAATAATATTGCAAAGCATCCCAAAAGAAAATTTTTTTTATAGGGGAAGAATACTTACTCTGCCACTGATGGCATCTATATCTATTTCTGCCTTTTTAGCCCATTTTTGCCAGAAGTTGGGATCATCTAAAGAAATATCTGTCCGGTTTCCAGATGCCACAAAACTCGCCTGAAATACATAATGGCAGTTTTTCAAAATGTTTTGAAGCTTAGAGGAAAAATCTATCAAAGTGTACTTAAAACATTACCTCCTCACATTTACTGTAGATAGAATTTGAATTCTGCATACACATATATTCAAAGGTTGTTTCAAATCCAGTGGTCTGAAACATAGCACAGCAGCTGCTTAAGGCACAGGGCTTAATGCCAACACAGACTGGAGTTTAGGTACAGAGTTAAATAAATTATTAATGTTGGTTAACTCAAACATTTGGTAAGCAAGGATCAAATCTTTTTGGTGAGGAAGCTACAGAAGACAGAGACATGCTTTCTAAAAATACTACATGAACATTGAGAAATTAGGTTAGAATAAGAATTTCAAAACCTGCCTACACTACACAGTTCATTTTCTGGGGTATTGCTACTTTACTTTTATCACACTTTCAGACAGATATATCTCCTAAAGAAAATGCAACACAGTATGTGGGAAATAAAGAAAAATGAATCATTTTCTGTCTTTATTTTAAAAATTCTTTACAGTAAAAATACGGCATAATCAAAATTTAAGAAAATACAGAGGAAAATAAAGAAAACAATATAAGTGATTATTTTCTTAAATATTGTGGAAATTATGTTAAACAAAATCTTTCAGTTGGAAGAAATTTTAGATGTTACACTTAAGCATTATTTACAACTTAAGTCACTGAAAATAGATAAGCCACGTCAAAGAAATGTCCTCAAAGTGCTTTATGAAAATGAAAGAAGCAGTGAAGATACACAATGCATTACGAAAAGGGCCTGAAAAATACATGTCAATGTTATAAAAATAAATGGAAGAATACGCTCACATAAAAGATTTCCAAAGGAGAATATAACTAGTAAATGGCTTTAAGATAATGCCTAATTACCTCAGATATAATCAAAAGATAAACATCTTCATTAAAAAACCATCTTGATGAAATGTTAAAATGCAGAAAATCCCACATTAAAAAAGTAATAAAACTGTTAAAAGCAAACAAGCCATTTATGACATTCAAGATAACTGGTAGTTTAGGCACTAGATAATTAATACCAAGGAATTATATTTAAAAAGTCTATCTTCAATGATATGTATGGAAATGTATAAACGTGATGATATGATATCTGGAATTTGATTTAAAACAATACAAAAAATAAGTGGTAGGTGATGAAACAAATTTAGCATGAGCTGATATAATTGTTGAAGCTCGGTGATGAGTACACAAGATTTCATTAAAACATTCTGTCTACATCTGTAGTTTAAAACTTTATAAAAAGTCTAAAAATGAGTAGGAACAAAATTAAAATGTTAAATGCCTCCTGCTGAACTTCAGATTCTGTTCACGTCACTGTTTACAAAGAGTTCAGTACATTCATTCATTCCATCTAGCATTCTTCTGAAGGTCAGCTTTTAAGATGCTGGTATAAAACAAGAGTTGGCAGGGCATGGTGGTTCACACCTATAATCCCAGCATTTTGGGAGGCGGAGGCGAGAAGATTGCTTGAGGCTGGGAGTTCGAGACCAGCCTGTGCTACAAAGCAAGATCCCCACCCACCCATCTCCACTAAAAATTTCTTAAAAAACCCCCGATGTAGTGGCACATAGCCTATTGTCCCAGCTACTTGGGAGGCTGAAGCATGAGGATTGTTTCCGCCCAGGAGTTCAAGGCTGCAGTGAGCTATGATGATGCCACTGCACTCCAGCCAGGGTGACAGAGTGAGACCCTGTCTCAAAGACAAAAACAAAATAAAACAAAAATATCTACGAATGTTTAAAATGTGTATTTTGCTGGCATATTTACGAAAACAGGAGTGACAGGAATGAATGCTTTAATGAAATGAATTTAAATTCCTTTTTTTTTGGCTTGCTCTAAACTATAGCTTAAATATTATGAAACTACTGAAAAACAGTAATTTTTTATTTTTTTGAAATGATGAATGTGGTAGGCTAAATAATGGCCCCCAAAGATATCTAGTCCTAATCGCTGGAACCTTGTGAGTGTTGCCTTATATGGCAAAAGGGACTTTGCAGATATGATTAAGAATCTTGAAACAGGGAGATAAGCTTATATTATCCAAGTGGGCCCTAAATGTAATTATAAGTGTCCTTACAAGAGGGAGGCAGAGGGAGGTCTGACTCTAGAAAAGGAAAAGGATATGACACGACAGAAGCAGAGATTCGAGTACTGTGGCCACAAGCCAAGGAATGCAGGCAGTCTTAGGAACTGGAAGAGATAAGAAACAGATTCTCCCCTGGAGCCTCCAGAAGGAACCAGCCCTGCTGACACCTTGCTTTTATCTCTGTAAGACTCATGTTGAACTTCTGACATCTAGAACTATAAGAGAATAAATTTGTGTTGTTTTGAGCCACTAAATTTGTGAGAATTTGTTACAGCGGCAACAGGAAATAATATGAAACATATCTTAATGATAAACCACATATAAAAACTCATATGTCCAACTTGAAAGAATACAGGCTAACTAGTTTGATAACATGAAAACAACATAGCCATCATCATTGTATAAAAGTATATGATAACAATTCATCAAACTGGTATGAATGAGTATATAAGGGACAGACATCTAACTACATTCAATTCCTTAACTATGAGGGAACTTTATTTTGTTAATTCAGAAATGAATTTCTCACAACTGAGGACATATGATACTTTAAAATCTTCATTAATATAAACTCAGCGATTTTCAGGAACAGTAAAACGTTCACTTAATGAAGTTCACAGGGTCTAATTCTGTACTACAGTTTCACTGATACATGCCTCTTGAGATTTAACCAATCCAGTAAATGATTATTTGCTTTATACAAATTGGAGAACATGTAACATGAAAAGTCATCAAATATGAAAAGTCATTAAAAGGAAACAGATTTTAAAGCATGTTACTTTTTGGTTACTTACCTAAAAAAAGAAAATCCCATGGTACAGTATATAATCATTTTTATTCTGCTACAACTGTTCATAATTTAAATAATTTGCCAGTAAGAAACTAAACGTTACAATTAAATAGCTTTTATTACATTGTAAGAAAAATGTTAAGTTTATTTTTCAAATAAAAAATTTTTTAGATTTCTAAATAATTCAAGATGCTGTTAATTGACATATAACCTATTTTCAAGATGACTTACATGATTCTCAAGGATTGCAATAATGGATTACAGCTATAGAAATGAAATGCCTGTTGTAGAAGATGTCAGCAAGTAGAGGTTTAGTGACTATTTCCAAACATTAAATCCTAATATCCTAGTTCCCCCCAAATTATTTTTCTTGAAATGCATTCCTTCAACCATCACAGCCCTATATTACTTGCAAGGGAAGACTTTTTCATGGTGAAATTCATCTTCCTATGACAGAAAGTAGCAGAAACATAGTTAAGTACCGCAGATGGGCCTTTACAAATAAGTAATCCACCTGAAGCATGATTCAGATGGTTTTGTTTTGTTTGTAAATTAAACAATTCAAAGTCTTTTGTTATATACCAAATCTTAAAAAAAAAAATCAGAATAGAAACATTTTTATTTTTAAAACCAACCTGACTGCCTTTATGAAAGCATCTCAAAACAAGGCTTAGGTGATGTAACCACTTATAAATGAGGTTACCAATAATGAGTTCTATTTGATGAGTATGTACTAAGTCTAAATATTCTCATAAGCACCCTGTTCCATACGTGTAACTCCTTATTAAATAGTATTTGATAATGCAAGGAAACACAGATTGGAATTACTTTATACAAACCACTGAAGACAACTGAGTATTCCCTGAAGACAATTGCAGTCTTTGGAAATTTCAAGAAAAAGTGTAAAATACTAGCAACTTTGCACTTTTGGTGCCACTACATAGTGGCTCCATATTCCATTATGCCAAATGTCCACCATCTAGTTCATTCCCATACAACTATGGGAATGAACAAATCATTTGGGAAACGAACAAATTATCAAACAACTACAGCAACCTCTCTGGATTCTCTCTAGCTCTTCAGTCCTCTCTTTTCAAATTTAACAGTTATTTCCTGGTATGAGGGTGTAAAACAGGTATTTAAATGCTTAAGCATTTCTAACTCTCACAGCATAGCTCATTATGACTAGAGTACATTTGAATCCTCTAAGTAAAATAATACTGACATAGCACTTTACAGCAAAGTAGGAAAGGCCAAGCATGATTATTATCATGATCTCCTCTTTAAAGACAAGACTCACAGAGGTTAATTGTCCAAGGTCACTCAGCTTATGAGTCAGAATTCAAACTCTGGTGTTCTGACTTTTCATGATTATTATCATTAACCTTTTAAATGAGGCAGCCTGGAATCACACATGGTCACTAAATGCTTTGCACCTTTAAGGAGAATATCTCTATGTGAGCCTAATCAACAGAGACAATAGCCATGACTGATACTTCTTGATATTAACTAGATTTCAGATAATTTCAAACATGAGGAAAAAATATCTGTACATAGAGTACAGAACCAAGGAATCAAAAGTAAATAAGATTTCCCAGGAAAGAAACTAGAGCCAGGGCACATGTCTACCTAATCATAACTAGATTTAGTTTTCATCCTTATATTTTACTTCTGCAGTACTCCTTGTTTCCAAATACTACTTTATTTTGATTTACTCTCTATTACTTCCAAATCTACATCTGTGTCCTAGGCAAATCTCCTAGACATCCCCAGTTGGATGCCCTGTAAATGTCACATATATAACACCTTCAATATTTTATTTTACCTATAGGAACTTCCTTTTCTTGCATTCTCTGTCTTAATGCACCATGACCCTCCTAGCCACTCAAGCCAGAATCTTCAAGTCACTTTTGATTCTGCCTTCTACAAATTTCTCACGGGTCGTCAAATCCTACTGAATTCAAGTGGGTCTCCACTACCCTAGTTCACCCGTCATTATTTCCTACACAGGCCTCTTAAATGATCTCCCTGCCTCCAGTCTTTCCCCTTTCCAAGCTGTTCTCAATACTGCTGCTAGAGTTAAATTTCTAAACTAGATTGCATTACGTCCAATTTCTACTTGAAATGCTTTAAAACCTTCTTAACTGCTTCAGGATCAAGTTCGAACTCCTCAAAATGGCACACAAAGCTCTTCACGATTTGGGTCCCATGTCCCTAACTCCTTCAGTTTCATCTCCATCTAATTCATCCCATGTATCCATATATGCCTGTATTATGTTCCTAAAATGTTCCTTGTAGTTTAGCAACATATGATTCATTTAGGTGGCTTTCTCTTTCTCTTTGTAACATAATGAAATCCAAAATTCTTTCAAGACTCAGCTTAAATGTTATTTTCTCTGCAAACGTTTTCCTTATTCTCTGGCTCTTTCATTTTATACAGAATTAATCGTTTCCTACTTTACAAAGTTCAGTGTATTTAAACATTTAGAGTAAGAGACAGTTAAATTTTTTCAGTAGAAGATGTGAACATCACAGCTATATTTATAAAACAGCATTCACTGTTACCTTAGCAAATGTTGACCCACGTCCTTCTGATTCAATTGTGATAGTTTTTGTACGACGCAGTAAAATCTGATCGATGTCCTCTTCACAGAATTTAGAGCCTTCGTCTTCTTCCTCCATAATGGCACCATAAGCACCTCTTCGAAGCAAGTCTTCTATTTCCTTTTTGGAAAGCTGTTGAATCTGAAGAGAAAATAATTCTGGTAATAACAGTTTTTTAAAGTTCATAAAATGAGAAAATATCCCTAGAGAATGTCAAAGAACACAAGAGGTCATATTTAAATTGCTTTTGGGTTTGGGATACACGTAAGAGAGAATTCACTGACATAGTATGTTGAAGTTGTTGACTCCTCTTTGCTATCTGTAAAATAGGAATCACCCATCTCCCTAAAATGGCTTTAGTTAAAACGAAGTGTAAGGCACATGTAACCTATCAAGGCTCTTTGGTAGTACCAGGATTCTATTACTGATACAAGCCCAAGATATTAAACAAGAATCTTGAGGGGAAAAAAATGCCAAAAATCATCATTTATAACAAGACAAAGCCAATACTAGTAGTTTGACATTAAAAAAAATTTGAAAAAGTGTTTATATAAATAATGCAGAAATTTCACAAATTCTATTTTGCTATGCCATGATACAAATGTCTTAAAAAGAGAGCAAAGAATTTCTTTCCTGAAAACACATTCTTAGAATTCAAAAGCTATGAAGCTACACAGACAAAACAGGACTCAAAAGTATTAACTAAACATAGCTTTATTCTGAAAATGTACCCTCACATAAAGCAATGTATTTCATGTTGAGTATGACCAAAATTACATGACATACTGTCAGAGGTAAAATTAAATGCAAACAAAAAATAACACAAAAATCCCAAGTGAAAAAAGAAAATGTACGTACACCGCCAACGTTACTTTCTCTTCCACTCATGCTCTGTAACACAGCCTTATCCAGGCCCAGTTTCAGGCTGGCTCGGTCAAACATCTCTCTCTCATACGAGTTACGAGTTACCAGTCTGTAGACTTTAACCGCTTTGTTCTGACCAATTCTGTGGCAACGAGCTTGGGCCTATAAAAAATGGAAAGTTATAGATTTAATTTGTTTCTCAAAAGGCACTTAATAGTAAACTATATATATGGAATACAAACATGTACGAATTTTTAGACACTTAATAATCAGATATAACCCTTTTCTAGAAATTAAGGTAGAGCTTACCAGAATGAGAAATAATCCCACAATCAGCAGTAAGTTGAAATTTAAGCTTATATTTCAGAGAATATAAAGCCATAGAGAATTACTGTGTTTTAATGGAGATGTAATCAATATAATTTTAGACAAGAAGATAAAATCTCTGAACAGATTTTTTAGTTCATGGCAATTCAAGCTTTAAAGATTTAAAGTCCAACCCTAAATTGTAAATCTTTTTCTACTATATTATCAATAATCTTTTCAATATCTTTTTCTTAAGCTGGGTAATTTTTAGGTGGGGAAAACCCTAAGGTAAATAACTCCGGAGATCTAAATTTTATTTAAATGGAGGACAAACTAATTATTTAGAAATGGTGACATCAGAGATATATAAGAGCTTCACATTTTGAGTTCCTATTAAACTTAAAATTTGATGATAAATCTTGACTCCAAAGGTTATAGAATCTATAGTCTTTCTCCTAAATTGTTAATCACCTTCTCATTATCTTCAGGCAGATTAAATCATAAATTGTGGCTTTAAAATTTATAGGTGGGATTGATGCTATGCTCTTTGTTTGTTTGTTTTTTTGAGACAGGGTCTCACTCTGTCACCCAGGCTGGAGTGCAATAGCGCCATCATAGCTCAGTGCAGCCTTGACCTCCTGGGTTCAAGTTATTCTCCTGCCTCAGCCCCTTGAGTATCTGGGACTACAGGTGCATGCCACCATGCCTGGCTAATTTTTTTATTTTTTGTAGAGACAGGGTCTTGCTATGTTGCTCAGGATGGTCTTGAACTTCTGGGCTCAAATGATTCTTCAGCCTTGGCTTCCCAAAGTACTGGGATTACAAGTGTGAGACACCATGCCCAGCAAGCCCTTAATTGACATCTTTATTCTACCCACATCCATTTTGTGCCATTTGCAACCAAGAATTATAAATGGGCAACTTTGCTCTAGGTCTAGAGAAAGTATAAGAGGTCAAGTATTTTATTAGTCTGTAAAGACTAGATCTACTTTAACAGTTAAGTAGGAAAAACCAAATGAGAGGGAGAAGTTGGGGGGCTCAGCACAGTTTTTCTAATTCCTCCTCAGGTTCTATAAGTGAGTTAAATTATTTTATTTTAAATTAAATTTTAGAAAATCACATGCACTGTGGGCACTTTTAAGTGTAAATATGCATTCTAAAGGTATAAATTATGATTTCGGTTTAACAGAGATTGGAAAACTACAGCCTATGGACCAACTCTGGGCTGCCAATGAAAAATGGCTTTTGTTACATTTTTAAAGGATTGTGAAAAATAAACAAGAATGTGTGACGGAGACCTCATGTGGCCCACAAAGCCTAAAATATTTACTAATTGGTCTTCTACAGAAAGAGCTGGTGCCTGGTTTAATCTATTTATTTTGGATAAACCTTTGACATTTTGAACTAGCTTACATATAGTTACACAAATGAGTAATTTAAGATACTGTATGTTTTAACCCAGGCATGTTCTCAAGGCCATTTATTACATTTGGTTTCATACCTATTTAAAGTAATGACATGACAGGTCTGAAGGTGGTGTGTTATCTCGATTGATTGTTCACAGTTAGTTACAGATCAAATTGCTTGTTCTATAATTTCCCCCCTTCTCACTGCTATACTTGACTAGTCTTAAAAAAAAAGCAATAATATAAATTGTAGTACATTTAAGACTACCATGAATAATAAAAGAATTTCTCTTATACTTTGTTCTCTTCTCATATCCCTCCTAGATGCTTATCTTCCGTAATTTTGACCCTCTTTGATTACTCTAATTAATAGTCTTAGGTTTCTATAAAGTATAGTCATAAATGACATATACACCTTTGTTTTCTAATATTTTAAAAAGTCATACTATACTCTCTCTTAATTCTATGCTTACTCTACTGTATGATGATTAGAAGATAAAACTAGGATAAGCATTTATTTTTAAGGATTAAAATTCTGAAAATTTCATTAAAAATAAGTTATTCTTAGAGCTTAGGTCTCTCTCAAATTTACACAATATTCTTTAAACAATAAAAATACTGTATTCAAGTAAACTTTCTTATAAGTTAGTAAGACATATTATTAAAAAGTATACTTTATTTTGTTATATTGAAATTAAAATAATTTGACCTGTTTGGCACAGATATTTCATAGGGAAACATACATGTTAGTTTGTTGAGATAAAAATAAAAGATATGGATTACCGGAAATAGTAACATGATTTTTTAAAAAAATTACATTTCTTCTTAGCCACGGAATTTATTTACCTGAAGGTCATTTTGAGGATTCCAATCAGAATCAAAAATTATACATGTATCAGCTGCAGTTAAGTTGATGCCCAACCCACCAGCTCGGGTACACAGGAGAAAAACAAATCGATCTGAATCAGGTTTACTAAATCGATCTATAGCAGCTTGTCGAAGATTCCCTCTGACTCTGCCATCAATTCGCTCATATAAGTATCTATGAAATAAAATGCAATAAATTTAGATAGATGAATATAACGAAAATGAAGACACAGTCTATCAAATATAAAGTCTGGTTTCCTGCAACATTATGTTTACTGTAAAGTTAAGAAGCAGTATCATCCCAATTAGTTTCTATGGCTTTATACTTTTTGGTGTGGGTGCTAAGGAGGAAACACAAACTAATACAAAGACACAAATCTCTGCATTCCTGGATGTATGGGAAAAACAGCACTATAATTAGTATCATTTTAAGAAGTTGGAATAACAAAAAAGTCCATGAAAACTACTTTCCTGATCTCATAATAAATTATTTTTATAAGAAGTAGAGATTTTCACAAGACTTTACACAAGAAGTCTATGAATATTTTTGTCCTTAATCTATGTTACGCTTCCAACTGATAACACTTGCTTCTACATTATCACCTACTGAGGACAGACTGGAATGCTGTCGAATTCTTCAGTCATTACCATAAAGCAATTATCTTTTAATTTCTTTTATCCTTCCCCATTTAACATATACAAAATGCAAAAATTACAAGACACCAATAAAAACAAAGTACAGAAAAATTTAGGAGCTAGAAGAGGAATGTAAGTGATATACATGTGACATCTGCCACGCTTCCTCTGGTTCAAGACACTTCTTTCCACATATGATTTACCAGTTTAACAGTAATTCCACTGTTATCTCTACTACCTGCAAAATGGAGATATGACTTCTAATAACGTTGCTTATGACAATAAAGAAACTTGGGGTTTTCCATGAAATTCATTATAATAGAAATTTGGAAGTACAGTTTTATCTTTGTATAAAGTGAATTGTGTAAGGAGATCAAGAAAATATAAAAATGGCTATTTTTAGAAATATTGCAATTCAATGTTCCTACCACTTAAATGGTATAGAATTGAGAATAACATATATTTTGAAATGAGGTTAAACGAGTAGAACACTGACAATAAAAATGGAACTAGAAACAAAACAAAAGAACTACATAATTGCTGATAACATAAACCAGTATAGACATTTCCTTATTTGTAAAGGTCAAAAATCTATTGAATTAAAATCTAGAGCTAAAATTTCTGATTCCCTTATATTAATATATTAATAGGTTGATATCGGATTGAATCCTAATGCTCTGATAAAATATCCTATGATAAATATGCTATTTGTCATAGCCTAAGTACTGATTAGACAATATATATATATTTTTTTGAGACAGGGTCTTGTTTTGTCACCCAGGCTAGAGTACAGTGGTGTGATCATAGCTCACTGTAAACCTGGAACTCCTGGGATTAAGCAATTCTCCCACCTCAGCCTCCTGAGTAGCTAGGACTACAGACACATGCCACCATGCTTGGCTAATTTTTTTTATTTCTATTTTTTGTCAAGACAGAGTCTCACTACATTGCCCCTGCTGGTCTGAAATTCCTAGCCTCAGGTGATCCTCCCGCTTTGGCCTCCCAAAGTACTGGGATTATAGGCATGAGCCACCATACCTGGCCTCATTAGACAATAGCTAAGACTATCTTATTGTCATGTATCAATAAACAAAACAAAAAACCCACATTAAACAAATTGGAAAAGATTAAAGGATGAACAAATTTTACATAGTGCATAAGAATAAAAGTACAACTTAAGGTTCTAATTATAACAATGAAATAGATTTAATAGGCTCTTCGAATCACTTTTTCCAATTTTGAAGATGGCTGTCTTAAATATAAGTCCATTTAAAGTGGCATTACCATGAGGTTTATAAATCAAGTAAAATATATACTAGTAACCCCATTCCCAGGTCAACAAATACCTATCGATTTGCAGGGTTTTCTTAATCAGTCTCATCAGCCCCACCTACTATTGCAACATATGCAGGTCAGGAAACACACAACACATAATCCTAAGCAATCTTTACTTACAGATTTGAATGCATTCTTATCTAAGTAAAGAGAAAGATAATAAGTTGGGTTACAGTACAATGCTGCACAAATCTTAATAACATATACTTAGTGTAATTCATAGTACAAGTCAATGGATTACAGTATGCTTTACCTTTTATGTATGAGATAGTCCTCTAAGATGTCAAGGCAGCGTACCATCTGAGAGAAGATGAGCACTTTATGACCTCCTGCTTTCATTTTGGGAAGCAATTTATCAATAAGGACCAATTTACCAGCAGACTGGATCATTGCTTGAAGATGAAAATCAGAAGCACCTGGATTATATGTATCTCTAAATTCTCCAAGTATTTTTTCCTCAGCACCTGTCAAAGAAATACACATTGCTTTTGTTAGAATTATTTATGTTTTTGGCTAAATCTCCACCCAAACCAGACTGTAATTCCATTGACGACACTGACAATATCTTAAGTATCTTTTTATTTCCCAAACACTTAGCGTAATGCCTTGCATAAATTTATGTTTGCTAAATGTTTAATGAATGTTATTAGGGAAAGCATTAATGAAACTGTGGTCCTAACCCTGGTAAGTTATATTTTAAAAACAAACATCTAATATTTAAATACCAATCTTAGCAGTGGCCATCACTGAAGAACGATCATAATTAATGTAGATGTGTCTATGAGCATCTTGTTAGCCATCAAAACAAGGAAACAAGAAAAAATTAAAAGAGAAGTCATGTTATAGGTTCTTGCTGCATACTTCCTTCAGAGAGTCTAGGTCAGAGTTAAAGAGGCTCTCTGAGTTCCTTCCCTCTGCCTGTCTAGCCATAAAAGAGTACAAGAATTCCAAGAGAGACTTCAGTTGTCTCAAATGGAGTAAGTACATTAGGAGTATATTCCCAGGAATAAGTGAAAAAAACCAAGTATTGTACAGAAAGAACACTGGTATTGAACCTGATAAGACCTTAGAAATCACATTATTATAGCACAAAAACTGAAACACTAATTGTGGTACCTAGACTGGAAGGAAACCAGGAATGAAACGTAAATGCAAATGCCCAAAGATGAGTTTTGCTGTCTTTGTCCATGAGGAAGATTAAACTGGAGGAGGAATTTCAGTCCAAATCATACTGAACAAACTCCTGCTCTTGTCACCTGGTGTGCTAACACCAGACACTGTAACAAAGTCGTTCACACTGTCCTCCATTCTGAAACACGTGTAATCCCTCAGAACACAAGAACGCAGAGTTGTAACCTCCGCCACAGCTGCAGTGGTGTTTTGTTTGTATTCATTAGTATTTGCTGAAAGAAAAAAATATTCCTTGTAATCCTTTTTAGCTACCTTTGATAAGATATGGATGATTACAGCACTTCCTGAGCTCCATCATAGTATTGACCAAGTTAGGTACATTAGTTTGTCCTGCTCCTTTGGATAAAAATGAAAAGTTTTTCTCCAAAATAGCCCGGTAGTATTTCTTTTGAATGTTGGTAAGTTCCACTTCGATGATGGTTTCTTCCTTAGGTGCCAATTTCTTTTCCACATCTTCTTTTAATCGTCTCAACATCATTGGTTTCAGGATAGCTTGAAGTTTCTGCACCTGAATAAAAAGATAAAAAGATATATAATAAGTGCATATTCAATTATACATAAAAAATAATTATAATGATAAGAAATCTGATGAACTTGTTTACAAAGAGCAATAGGATACCTGTTCCTCTGTTTTCAGATCACCAAATTCTTGCATAAATGTTGATTCGGAAGGAAATCTTAAGGGTTCAAGAAAGTGAAGAAGACTAAATAGTTCTTCAACTGTATTTTGGAGAGGTGTGCCGGTCAAAAGCACCTTGTGTTCCTACGTAAAGAAAGAACGTTTCACATCAAACATCACAGTACTAAGATTATATGAAAACTGACTTAGGTTATCAAATTTTCAGTGTTTGAAAAGCAAATATTTTTCTGGCCATAATTTTCAAGAGTTAACTCAAAATATATCTCTACCCACAAATCTTCAGTAATATACTACCCTAATCACTTTTTAAAAACTTTTTATCATTCTTGTAATACCTCATTTTGTATGCTATTAATTTTTACCCATTCATGCCTTTAAAAATTCTAAATAATTTTAGAAGCAAAGAAATAAACTTTATAAGAACAAAGAGGGTATTTGTTTCTTTTGTACTCAAGTGTTCTTGGCACAGTAATTTATACACTAAAGAGTACTCATTATTTATAATTTGGATGACCATTATTTAACATTTTATACAAGAACAAATTGTCAAATCACTGAGGTTACAATCCAAGACTGTAAAGGATGCAATATGCTTCTAAACTAGAATGTCATTAAAAATTAAACACAATACTAACAGAAGACTATTTTTAATGATAGTACAAATTATCATTTAAAATTTTATTTGACAAAACTTCTAAATCCCCAAACTAAGTATTTGTGTATGTATCTGTGTATCTGCAAATATATGTATATGCTAGTAAACGGTCTAGAAAGATACACATCAAACTGTAAATACGAGAGTGAGGAGTCAAACTGGGTGTGGGGCCCTACAGACAGAGAGGGAGCACTTTCATTTTTTATTGTATGTGGTTCTGTATATTTATTTGTTCAAGTGCTCATGTACTAATTATGTGATCTTAATTAAAAACCAAAATGTTTTAAACGTTTAAAAACTTTCATTCGAAAGGAGCAAAAACACTAACAAAAAGATGACTTTAAGAAATCCCATTATTAATTATAACCAACATATGTTAAGCATGTAGCATTATGTAGGAACTCTATCCCTTTTACCATAAATGATCTGAATATTATAACTTTGGCAAAAGGGCTTTTTATTAAGAGATTTATGGCCTAAAATTTATGGTCTTATTTTCTTTTCAATAGTACGCACTCTACAGAGGTTTCCTTTTCTTAATTTTAGAAATTAATTGCTAAAGTTTTTTGGAAGAAAGAACATAAACATTTTTAAGTCTTAGAAAGCAGGTATAATTTTTTTCCTTACTAATTAAAGACAAAGAAACCTCAATTGTCACAGAATTCAGATATATCTATACTCTAAAATTTAAAAATAAGTTTTCAGCATTAACTATGACTATGACCTTTTACTATTAATATATAGATAAGAAATTGAAGTCACAGTGATGGTATTAAGTTACTTACCAGATTCATGAGTTTCAGACCTTCTAGGAGTTTACAATTTTTATTTTTTAACCTATGTGCTTCATCAATAATCACACATCGCCATTCAATTGCATTAAGCTCTCCACAGCCCCCAAGAATCATTTCAAAAGTGGTGATGATGGCTTGGAATCTGTAAGCTCCTCGAATGATACGCCCCTAGAAATTATCAAATATAATAATTGGCTGGAATGTCTTAATTGCATTTTTTATTCCTGTCAAATGGCATCTAATGACATCTGCTATAAAACATTTTCCACCGAAATTTTTATATATGAATAGACACTTCCTTACAATGAGCAGTTTTAGCATTAAAACTGTTAAATTGCTGTTTTCAATAATGTCAAAAATTATGCCAATATAACTATAATATTTATAACTGCATCCAAATAAGTATTCCCTGATAAAATGTTTTATGATAATTTTTGTGAATTATAATAACGATTTTGGTCAAGAAAGAAAGAAATGGTCATTATAAAATCTGGCCAATGAGATTCCAGTATAGTGTTTATTACTTAACATCTATGAGTTCACAAATGATAAATAAGTAGTGAATAATTAGCCAACCAAATAATTTATTCAGCAAATATTTATTGAGTGTCTATGTGCCAGACCCTCTTCTAGTTGCTGGAGACATAGTAGTAAACAAAACAGACAAAAATAATTATCTAACTGCAATGTACATTCCAATGATTCTAATGCAGGATACAGTCGTTAAGAAAACAAACCAAATATTTTTCTAAAAGAAGTAAGTTGGAAAGAGATAAGGGCTGTGGAGTAACATAAAATACGAATATATAAGGTTGGAGACAACCACTGCAATTTTATATTGGGTGGTTGGGAGAACATTATGAGAAGTGACATTTGAGCACAGATCTGAAGATGGGGAGGAAGCCATGTTGTGTAAAAGAAAGCATTCTTGGTAAAAGAAGTAGGAAGTATGAAGGCCCTAAGGTGGGAGTATCTTTGGCAGTACTCCAGTAGCAGTAAGAAAGGCAGAGTGGTTGAAACCCAGTGAGTGGGGAGGGGATGAGGCAGACTGGATTGGGACTTGAAAGCTGTGATAAGAACTTTGGCACTTATTCTGAGCAAGAAGCTATTGAAGGGGTTTGAGAGAAGTGACGCCATGATTTGACATACATTTTTAGAGTCCCTTTGGTTGTTGTGGTGAAAATGGTCTGAAGAGGCCAAGGACAAGATCACAGAGATGGGTTTAAAAGTTGCCACAGTAATTCCAGCAAGAAGTCATCACTGGAGGCCATGAGAAGTGGTCAGTTCTAGATATATTTTGATGGTAGAGCCAACAGGATTTTGTAATAAACAGGTATGGAACGAAATAGAGAAAGGTCTCAAATTTAACTCTAAAAATTTTAGCTTGAACAACTGGAAGTTTGTGTTGCTATTTACTAAAAAGAGGAAGTTTGGGATTTTGGTTTTGTATATGTTTAATTTGAGATGTCTATTAGCTACAACCACATGGAGTTGTTAAGTAAGCATTTAGGTATGACTCTGGAATTTAAGAGTTTAGAGTTGGTGGTACAGATTTAGGAGTTTCCAGCAGTATAGATGGTATTTAAAGTTATGTGTATGAATGAAATCTCTAAAAGAATGAGTATAAATATAAAAGAGTTTGAAGACTGAGCCCTGGGTCACTCCAAAGTTTAGATACAGAGAAGAAGGAACCAATAAAGGAGGCTTGAGAAATAATAAGTGGTGATGTAGGACAGCATGAAGTCCTGGAATCTAAGTGAAGAGAGCGTTTAAATAGGATTGAAAACATAAACTACTGGGTAGTAAAAGAAAGGAAAGGTTAAGAACAATTGTGACTTACATTTTAACTCATATTAAGCTACTTAATTTTAGATAAGTTCGTGTTGATTGCATACACTGGGCATTACATTGAATAATAGCTCCAGTAGAGTAGGTATAAATTATAAACTTATGGCATTTATACAGCTCTAAAAACCTGAGATATAATATATTCAGTTAAGTTGATATCATCGTGTTTAACAAGTACTCTCGAGTCTGACTGACTTGGGTTTACTAACCCCAGTTTTGCTCCATGGTTTTCGGGCAACATATGTAACTATTTTATGCCTCGGCTTCCTCATGTTTCAAACAGGGATAATATTATCTATTTTACAAGGCTGACATGACAAATATTAAATGAAATAATACATGCAAGCTATCAAGTATAATGCCTGGCACATGGTAAATACTCAATAAATGTTTGTGATTATTAGTGTTATCATTGCTGTTACTTTTCCCAGGGCAATTAGAAAAGTTTTAGCATAATTTTAGCACTATTTTAATTTGAAGCTATTTGATAACTTACAAAGAGAAGTAAAATATTCAATTAATTTACATTAAGATGTATTGGAGAGTTAACTCTAAAAGTTATTTCTAAATTTGAAGTACAGATCTATTTATCTCATTACATGACACACCTTTATCTTTTGAAATTTAAAATCTATTCAGACAATATCCTTCTAGAATCTCTAACATTTACCACAAAACACAATATTTAATATATATAATTTGGTTTATTACACATCAAGAATCTTTCAGGTTTTTGGCTATCATATTTATGCCAAACTCATATGACAAATATAGTAAACTTGTAACTTTGTTAAAAATCTCTTAAAGTCTCAAGATTTTAGTTGTGTCTTTTGTAAAAATTGAAAAGGTTGAACTAACTCATTTTTATGATACCCCACAGCTCTAAAATTCTGCAAATGTATGATTAAGAATAATAAAACATTACGGAAGGGAACCAAACTATAACCTAATTGAGATATTATAGACTCCAAAGGTGCAAAAGTGATAGTTTTCAATGAGGAATAATTAAATGATTGCATAGATGCTTAATTTCATATAAAAGTAATTGTTTCGACCTTGGAAGTAGAAGGAAAATGAGGTTACAGGAACAAAATCAGTTAATTAATCCATTTTCAGCCTCAAATAGGTAGAAAATCAGCTATAAGTGGGAGGCAAAAGTAGAAGGCTACTACACACGTTATCTTATACCAACTTCTATCATACCCCGTGACTTGGCCACTCATTATAAAGATACTTTTAGAACAGTAGAATAAGTAAAAGAAAAATATTAAGGTGCTTTTGAGGTAGCGTGTTAGGCAATAAACTTTTTCCAATTAAAAAGTATAATTCTCTGTGAATTGTTATCTATTGATTTTATTTATTTCTTAATAAAGATTTTTCTCTAAAATGACTTATATTAACATTCAAGACTGTATCTTGTCCAAGGCTATTTTGCATTTAAAAAAAAAACTGCACTTGGCACTTCATATTTTCTAGTATTAACTTTCTGTTAGACAATTCTTTATTACATTTTCATCTCTTTGTTTTATGGTCTGTGTATTTAGGAGGAATAGGAAATCCCTTCCTAATGAGTTAAGTGGCCAAAGCAAAAGGGAAAATGTGCCTCTAAAATACAGGGGAGAAGAAAACCATCAAGTTACTGCATTACTGAAATAACCAATCCTAAGGCGAAAGAGAAGGAGGTATGCCTGTATTGGTATACAAAACAAACCAAATTTTTTTAAAAGTCCAAAATCAAAATCCATTGAACACGAAAGAGAACCTATGGTCTCACCTCAAAAAGCATTTAAACCAATGATGTTCAATGAAGACTTCAATTTTAAAAATGTAGGAAAAAAAGCCAAAGGACAATAAAGAGATAGTTATTATTCTAAAAATAAATCTGATGTGTATTTTAAAAGAATTAGTAAAATAATTATTCTAGTTGAAAATTTAAGCATTAAGATCAATTTTATACATTTGTATAAATCAGCATACTTCATTATGGTGTACTAGACCATTAAACCGCCTTTTGTCATTGTTCTCTTCAGCTACTAAAATTTATTATAAAATAAAAAATGATGAATAAAAGAGTTTAAAGTAAGATCTAAGTAGGCAATCAAAATCTATCTTAAATTTGAAAGTAATTGGTATGTAAAGCTTATCTTTTTCAGCCCTAGCCTTTCAGACAATAAACAAAATCATCAATAACACACCTGTGAGTCCCTGAAGTACATCTCATATTGCTGTATCATCTGTCTGCTAATCAGGCTCCCATGATAAACCACAACATTAATATCAGTCCACGTACGAAATTCTCTCTCCCAGTTTGCAATAGTAGAAAGTGGAGCAATAATCAGGAAAGGTCCTCTTATACCAGTCAGAAGGATTTCGTAGAGGAATGTAATTGATTGAATGGTTTTGCCAAGACCCATTTCATCTGCTAAAATGCAGTTGCGTCTGAAATAAACAAATATATTATCCATGCATACATTGGGTTTTTTGTATACTACAATGTTTTAAAAGATAAATATACAAAAATAATCAAAGATCAAACAATAATACTTGGATTTATAAAAATCTAAAAGTTGCTAAAGTGCAGAGTAGCTTCAAGATTACAATTTTATTATAATCCTGCAAAGGGACAACTAACAATTTTTGTAGCTCTAAAATAAAGATACCTCCCATTAGATGTTTGACTTTTTAAAGAATGAGAAGGCAAGAGCAAGGCAAACTAAATATGTTATTTATTCAGGAGTCATTTATTAAATACCTTCTATCACGACAGCATGAGAAGATGGGATACAAAAGAAATAAAACATGTTCTCTGTCTTTCAGGGACTTATATCTATTAGAGGAGCAGACATGCAAATAAATATATAGTCATGCAATGTGCCACCATAGAAGCATAAATAAAACACTGGTTTTCAACCATAGCTGCTCATTAGAAGAGCTTACAAAGCTTGGAAAAAAAACAAGATACTCAGGTCTCTTCCCTGTACATTCTGATTTAAGATGTATAGAGTAGAATCAAATCAGATGTAATCAAAAAAAAAAAAATAAGCTCCACAGATGATTATGACATGTGGCCAGTTAAGAATTATCAGTATAGTTTATTATGGAAGCTCAGAAGAGTAAGTATCAACTTTGGCTAGAATAGATGACAGAAGACCTCCTTCAAAAAGGAGGTCAGTAACGAGGAGGATTTTGCTGGAGAGCACAGCAAAGGATCAGAAGTGTAAAGAACACGATCAACTGAGGGACCCAAACCTGGTTAATATGGTTTTGAGGGGAGGGAGAAGAAGGGGGAGATTATTGAGATAAGTAGGGTCATTAACAAAAGAGGTTAGGCATCATTCTATTATGCAATGGGAATCACTGAAAATTATAGAAGAAACCTGATGAGAGTAGGTTTGTATTTTACAGTTTACTCTGGTGCTACTGTGGATATTAGAGGGTGAGGTGACTAGAAGTTGGAACACTAATTGGGAAAGTACCATTAACAGTGCAGGGAAGAAAGTGTGAGCACTTGGTCCAAGGGAAGAGAAACTAAGAGTAGAGAACTGATTCCAGAATTAATTACCAGTTCGAATGAATTGGACCTAGTTACCAACTAGACGTATCAGTTATAGGATGACAGCCATATTTCAGTTTGAGTGACTACATGAACTGTGTATTATTAACATGGAACACAGAGGAAGAACAAGTTTGACACAGAAGCAACAGGAAACAATAAAATTAATTTTGAATCTGTTATGTTTAAAGAATCATTGAGATAGACATTCAGGTAGCAAGAGGCAAAGAGAAATATGGACCTAGAGTTCAAGACCTTAGTTAGAGGTAAAGTATGGTACCATTAGAATACTATTGCTAAGTGAAGGCATGGGGGGTATAGAAATGACTTAGGGAGAATAAACATGTAATATGAAAAGAGAGCTAAAGACAGAACCTGAGGCAAGAAAAAGTAACAGCTAAAGGGCAGGCAGAGGAAGAGTAACCAGCAGACTACCGAAAGGAATAGTCACAGGTACTGGAGAGCTAGGAGAGAGTCACACTGTGGCAGTTGCTGAGTTTTAGAATGGAGGAAAAGTTTATCAAAGAAAGGAGTATCCTACTATCCAATGCAGCAGAGGAAGCAAATTAGGGCTGAAAAGTATCCCATAGATTAGAAAACTAAGACTTTCAAAAAGGAGATAGAAACAAAATTCAGGCTACAACAGGCTGAAAAGAGAATGGGAGATGAGGAAATGAGAAGAGCTAGAGCAGGCTACTCTACATAGGAACGTGCCTAGGAAGTTACCAAGAGGGCTTAAGGTAGCTAGAAGAAAAAGCAAAGCCAAGAGAAGGTTTGTATTTTTTTTTTTTCTTTCAAGACAGAGTCTCACTCTGTTGCCTGGGCTAGAGTGCAGTGGTGCCATCCTAGCTCACTGCAACCTCAAACTCCTGGGCTCAAGCAATCCCCCTGCCACAGCCTCCTGAGTACCTGGGACTACAGGTGCATGCCACCACACCTCAATATTTCTATTTTTTTTGTAGAAACAGCAGTCTCACTATGTTGTTCAGGCTGGTCTCAAATTCCCGGCCTTGAGGAATCCTCCCACCTCGGTGTCCTGCTAGGATTACAGGCATGAGCCACCGTACCCGGCCTCGTTTTTCTTTTTATAAATAGGTCAAACCCAAATTTGTTCATAGACCGACAGGATGGCAATAATCTTCAGGGATGGCTTGAAAGTAAATATAAAAGAGAAGGATGATAAGGGAAGTGAGATTCTGAGAAGACTGGATGAGACGGCATGTCAAGAGCTGAGGTGGCAGCATCAACGTTGGTCCTAGGGAAGGACCCTTTAAATTCCAGTACTAGAGGATAGAGGTAACAATGGCTATGGGTGGAGATACATTTGTAGGCTTGGATATGAGGGCAGGCAAGAGTATGAATGAAATTCACTTACTGTCCCCAGGTTTCTCTAGGAAGCAGTCACACATAGAGTGAAGGGGATAGACTTGTGATAAAGGGCTTGAAGAAAGTGGTGAAAGTTTAAAATAGGTAATGTAGGAAATGGGAAAGGATACTGATGAGGGAAGACAAGTTAAAAAAAATCTTTTAATTATTTTACCTGGATGTTTCTCTTGGGAAAAATGATGATTAACATTTAAAAAATATAAACCAGGAAAAAGAGGACTGCAGGTCCCTCTCACTTCATCTGAGTCTTGTGACTTACCATTACTAAGCTAAAAAAAAACTCAGAAGCATCATGTGAGAAATAAAAACACAGAAAAATGATTTTGAATAAAAGTGTCATTAAATTTTGCTATTATTACTAATAACAGTGCCTTAATTTGCTCTTTTGTATACACTACTATACCTCTTTCTCAATCATGATACCACTTTTTTGCTTCTTTTGCAATTGTCTTTTCATCTCAAAGAATGTGAGATATGTTCTACAAAGCATTTTAAACTTGGAAAATAATTAATAAGAATGGGGCAATTCATTACTAGGTTCCCATATTTTATACTCCATTTCTTATCAGTTGCTGACAACCTACTTCTCTGAAGACTTAACATTAAATAACAGAGATCTATCTAATCTTACAGGTGTATCTTCCTCACAACTCACTAACAAGAACCAATTGTTAGCAGATAGTAACATGAGTTGATAAGCTGAACATAGAAAATGTTCTGTAACATAGAAGATGTTTCAAGAGGTATTTCAAATTTAATTATTAATCAACATACCAACTTTCTTCTATTCTGATTGGTACACATTTAAAGAAAGCAACTGTAGTTAAAATCCTAAAATGTAATTTACATATTTTCCTGAGGTAATCTCACTTTAAATAATGAAGACTTCATGACAATAACAATATAGCACCATCAGTACCTATTTTACATAATATATTTTGGCACATATTAAAAAAAAAGAACACTAAAATTTTTTCTGTGAAGATACACTACATACCTATTGTACCAATTGAACAAGAGCCAGTTGAGTCCTTCGAGTTGATATTCCCTGAGTTGATTGCCATTTTTATAGTCCCTGGATTGATCTATTTTCTTCCAAATATTAGAGGGAGGACGGTCCTTTGTGGAAAAACAAAGAATGAATTATGTATATCAGATGTTTAAATCTTCCATACATCTCACTCATGGCAAAAAGCATTGCTTTTAAAATAATGCTAGAAGTGTAACAGTGTAGTGTTATGATGAAATTTACATAACATTCAAAGTTCAAATTAGTTCCTACACAACTCTTTCAGAAAATTAAACATTTTTCCCAACTCATTCTATAAAGTCATGATAACAAAATCAGACAAAGACATTATAAGAAAAGAAAACTAGTTTCCGGTGCGGCCGCCATCGGGGATTCCAGTCATGGCTCTGCGCTACCCCATGGCCATGGGCCTCAACAAGGGCCACAAGGTGACCAAGAACGTGAGCAAGCCGAGGCACAGCCGCCGCCGCGGGCGCCTCACCAAACACACCAAGTTCGTGCGGGACGTGATCCGGGAGGTGTGCGGCTTCGCCCCCTATGAGTGGCGCGCCATGGAGCTGCTCAAGGTCTCCAAGGACAAACGGGCCCTCAAGTTCATCAAGAAGAAGGTGGGGACACACATCCGCGCTAAGAGGAAGCGGGAGGAGCTGAGCAACGTCCTGGCCGCCATGAGAAAAGCCGCCGCCAAGAAGGACTGAGCCCCTCTCCCCTCCTGTCCCCGCGCACAATAAACCTTTACATACACACACACACAAAAAAAAAAAAAAAGAAAAGAAAGAAAAGGAAACTATACACCGATATCCCTCATGAACAAAGATGCAAATATTCTTAAAAAAATTTTACCAAATGGAATCTAACAATATATAAAAGGGGCAATAAATCATGACGAAGTAGGGTTTTTACAAGGAATGGAAGGTGGGTTTAAAATAGAAAATTAATGAATGCTGATCAACAGACTAAACAAAAATAATATGATAATCTCAACAGATGAAGAAAAGGTATTTGAAAATTTCAACATCGACTCCTAATAAAAACTCTCATCAAATTTTGAATAGAAGGGAACTTCCTCAACCTGTTAAGGCACATCTACGAAAAAACCAAAGCTAACATCATACTTAAAGGTGAAAGACTGAATGAATGCTTTCCCCCTAACGTCAGGAATAAGGAAAGGATGTCCACTGTACCAATTTCTATTCAACATTGTATTGCAGGCTCTACTAAGTGTAATCAAGAAAAAAAAAGAGATGAAAGTTATCAAGAATAAAAAGGAAGAACTAAAACTGTCTTTATTCATAGAAGACATGTTTTGTCTACATAGAAAATTTTGTGGAATCTACAAAAGAAAACTAAACTAAGTAGTAACTTTAGCAAGGTTGCATAATACAAGATCAATACACAAAAGTAAACTGTATTCTATATGTGGCAACAATGATAAATACATTTTTAAAAAACAATACCCATTTTAAAATAACATCCAAAATATGAAATATTTAGGAATGTATCTGACAAAAGTTGTGTAAAACCAGTATATTTAAAACAATACACTGCTGAAATTTAAAAAGAGCTAAATAAAGAGATATACTATGTTCATGGATTGAAAGACTCAACATTAAGTTATTAATTCTTCCGAAATTAAACAATAGCTTCAACAGAATCCAACCAAAATCCCATCAAGGTTTTTGTAGAAATTGACAAGCCAAGTCTAAAAGCATAAGGAAATGCAAAAGATCAGAAATAGCCAAACGAATTTGAAAAAGAAGAATAAAGTTACAGGACTTAGACTGACTGATTTTAAGACTTGTAAAAGTTGCAGAATTAAGACTATGTAGAATTGATGTGATGATAAAAAAAAAAAAACAGGTCAGTGGAACAGAATAACTGGTTCAGAAATACAACTACAGGTATTTAGTCAATTGATTTTTGACAAAGTTGGAAGGCAATTCAGTGAAGAAAAGAGTGTTTTTCAACACAACAAATGGTGCTGTAACAATTGGATAATCCTGAACAAAGAATGAACTTTGAGCCATGCAATTGCACTACATACAAAATTAATTCAAAATGGATCACAGACTTAAATGTTACCTAAAACTACAAAATTTCCAGAAGAAAACAGGAGAAAAGTCTTTGTGAACTCGGGTTATGTAAAGATTTCTAAGATATGCCACAAGTCTGAAAAGATAAACTAGATTTCATCAAAATTAAGAACTATTGCTCTTCAAAAAATATTGTTAAGATAATGAAAAGGAAAGCCATAGGCTGGAAGAAAATATTTGCAATCATATATCAAATAAAAGACTTGTACCTTGAATATGTAAACAAATTTTAAAGCTTTAATAAGAAAACAAACAAGTCAATAAAAAATAGCAAAATATTTGAACGAGTATTTTATTAAAGATTAATAGTAAATAAGCACATGAAAAGATGTTGAAAATCATTAATCACTAGGGAAATGCAAATCAAAACCTCAATAACACATAGTTACCTGTTAGAATTGCTAAAATTAAAAAAGACTGATGATATCAAGTTTTGGCAAGGATGTGAATCAACAGAACTCTCATTCAGTGCTGGTGGGAATGTAATATGGTATGATCAATTGGAAAAAAATTTGGCAGTTTCTTAAAAAGCTAAACATACACATACCATATGACTCAGCCATTTTACTCACAGGTATTTACTAAAGAGAAATGAAAACGTATGTCTATACACAGACTTGTATACTAATGTTCATAGTAGCTTGCTTTCTTTTTTTTTTTCAGCTTTATTTCTAAGAGCAAACACAAATACTCATCAAAAGGTAAACGGACCAAAACTTATAGAATATTACAATAAAATACTACTGAGTAATAAAAAGGAATGAACTATCAAAACATGCAACGACATGGATCTCAAAATAATTATGCTTATGAAAAAACCCATATGAAAAAGAACATATACTATTTACATAAAATTATAGAAAATGAAACATAATTGATAGTGACATAAAGATCAGTAGTTCCTTAGAAATGGGGAGTGGGGTAGAGAGAAGGAAGATTTATGAGGGAGGGATTACAATGGCACACGAGAACACTTCTGGGTACAGTAGTTTATTATCTTGATTATAGTGATGGTCTCATATGTCAAAACTTATATGAGTTATCTCACTTGATTGTTCACAGTCAGTTACAGTTTGAACTCCTTCTACTTTCCCCCTTCTCACTACTGCACTTGACTAGTCTTAAAATAAAAAAAGAGAAATCATGAGGTGGTGCTGAAAAGGTTAAAAAAAAAAAAAAGAAGAAGAAAGAAAATGAGAAATTTAAAAATAAAAAAAGGAAAAAGAAAAACTTATAAAACTGTATACCTTAAATATGTACAGTTTACTATGTCACTTCAACCTCAATAAACCTATCTTCAAAAAGGATGAATGATGGCTGGGCACGGTGGCACATGCCTGTAATACTAGCACTCCGGGAGAAGGAGGCGGGAGGATCACTTGAGCTCAGGAGTTTGAGACCAGCTTCAGCAAGAGCGAGGACCACCCCGCCCCCACTAAAAATAGAAAAGATTAGCTGGGTGTGGTGGCATGGCTTGTAGTCCCAGCTACTCGGGAGGCTGAGGGAGGAGGATCACTTGAGCCCAGCAGTCTGAGGCTGCAGTGAGCTATGATGACGCCACGACACTCTAGCCAGGGTGACAGAGTGAGACTCTGCCTCAAAAAAAAAGAAAGGCAAAAAGGATGAATAATGTATATCGGATTTTCTCACATAAATTTTAAATCTACCATACAAATTACTACTTTTGTCCATAATATCACTTTTGATATTTATGGTAAAAAGCATCTCTTTCAAAAGAAATCTAGAAACACAGAAGTATAACTTTATATGTAAAAATTTTTTACTCATTTATATACAGTTATATTTATTCAAATATAATTTTTCTTTCTCAGCAATAAAGGGCTGTCATAAATTTATTCTGTAAAGCTAAAACATAAATTTTCAAGATTCCTGAATAGGTGAAGAAATAACATTATCCTAGCCCCAAATTAGTATCTAGGTTGTAGGATAAACAAATTTCTTAGGAACAAGCAAAAGGTTTCCTATTGTCTTCAGCTTTAAAATTATATTATAGCATTACTAATCAACAAAATTACACTTCTAAAAATTATCAGGACAATCAGTAAGTGTATAGTAACTGTAAATGAAAACAAAACACAGGCTATCAGTATAATGAAAACAGAACTGCTTATTGAAGTTCTGCTGCTACTTAATACAAACAGGATTTACTAAAGAAACATTTTTTAAATGGTACCCAATGAAATTTAAAATAATAAATATATAATATTTTAATTATTGCTTAAATAATTTCCACTTTAAGTCATATTCTGTATAGTTTCTTTTCAGCAACCCAATCACCGTTAATATTTCCTTACTTGGGTCAGAGAAAAATTTTAGTTACAGAATCTCTAAAAATATATGATTTATATGCTGTTTTATTTAACAGTAATGGACTGGCAAAAAAATCACTTAGCTCCTACATTATTTTTTTATTATTATTTTTTTTATTCCAGGGTATTGTGAGGGTACAAACATTATAGTTACACTTTATGTCTTTGCCTCACCCAAGTGCCGGTTAAAGGCATGTCCTTCCCTCCCTTTAGTGCTCCCCATGTCCTTTAGTTGTAGATTTGCCCCCCCATCCCCCTAATACCTAGAGAGTATTTCTGCCATGTGATCAACCTAGTGTTGATCAGTTAGTACCAACTTGATGGCGAGTACAAGTGGATCCCATTCTTCTGCTCTTGTGGTGCCTCACTTTGGATAATGGGCTTAAGTTTAATCCAGGAGCTCCTACATTATTCACCTAGGACAGACTAGCATTGTCATCAATTTTACATTAATTAAGGGGATTAATTCTATTGGCTGTGCCCTCTTTACCAAGGACTATACTATATATCTAAGCCATCTCTGATTTTTGAAAAGCTCCAAAAGAGATTCTGATGTGCACCTTTGATTAAGAACTACTGACCTAAAGAAACAGTTTACCTGAAGAGGCTAAAGGTCAGGTTACCACCGAGGCATAGTCCCCATCCCCAAAAAGAAAATCTTTCCCTTACACAACATCCCTTGACCCACTCCCCTCTGAACTAGTTGATGTTTCTGTTTCCTGGTTCAAGGAATAGCAGTTAGAAGTTAAAAAGAATGGGAGCAAACTGCTATGCTTTTGGTAATAGCCTATGGGCATTATTTGAAAATAAAATCAGAAAATAATTATTATAAAAACAGTATGATCTCTTCCATGGAATATTTAGAAATATTTAGAAACATACAAAAATATGTTTATCAGGGCAGCCTTCCTGACTCTGGTGCCAATCCAAAAGTAATCTGCTCCTGTCTTTTCACATATAAATTCCCTCTTTAGTGAAGAAAAAAATTTCTTTTTTTTTTCTTTAGCCAACTTAATATGGAAAATAGTGGATAAAGACATTTCTATGACCAAATTATATTTGAAAGAGAACAGGAAAAAATGTTTAAATAAAATTGTCACATATCTCAATGTGAACTTCTTTTGGTTGGCTCCCAAAATTGTAACAGATTCATATAGCAGCAATCCTGTTTAAAGCAATCCCCTTTAAAAAGAAATAAAACACTATACAATTATTAGCAATCTCAAGCTTACCATAACCTTCTAAAATTCTATTTCTGTACTGGAAGAATCAATAATCTACTCAAGCGGTTTTTGTTTCTTTTTTCAGAGGTGGGGAGAGATATGCATATAATCAGTAAGAAATCAGTGTACTTAATTTATGTAGGCCTTTAACAATATTCTATATAAAAGGCTCTTCTAAAAATAAAGCTACTATGGAAACATAAACTATATAGTTATTGAAGAAATAATGGGTTTATAGAAAAAAAGGAAAAGGTAGGCATAATATGCACTTTTCTTTTAGTAGAGAATTGATAACTCTAGCAGCATAAAACAGACTAAGGAAAAAAACTGATAACTCTAGACTAGGACTGGAATTGGTATTGTTGACATTTATACAAATGACATGAGAGGAGTAATGAGAAACAAATTCAGAGATGAGGCAGAAGTATTAAATGGAGCAACTTCTCTGGAGGGAAATTGGCAAGGAAATACTTATTAAAATTGTAAATGCACATATGCTTTGACCAAGCAATTATACTCCTAAATTATCTTACAGAAGCATGTACAGGGGCTTGATGTTCAATGTAGCATTGCTGATGATAAAAACTAGACCACTGACTAATAAAATAGCTAAATTAATATACATATACAGCAATTAAAAAGAATACAGTATTAATTACAAAACAAGGACTAAACAGAAAATTCAAAGTAGACACTAAATCTACTAAATAAAGAAGTGCTAAGATTTTATGAAGCTTTTTAAGACAGGTTCTTACCAAATGTCTTGTGTCAGGCCTTGAAGCTTGCAGTTGTTCAAACTCCTCTATTTTTGCAAGATCTACATCTTCTTTTAGTTCCCAAGTACTATCTTCGTATGGCAATGAGCACCATTTTACTAAGTAGTAAATAACAGGCTGTAAAACATTTTTTTTTCATTTTACCATTTTGAAAAAGAGAGTAGTAAAAAATAGCTTAAATGTATTAAATTACATCAATAAAAACAAATGAAACATTTTTTAGTGTTTTTAGGCCTTAGCTTCTAAAAAGTACTAGGTTTTACTTACTTAAAAAGTATTTTTACCAAATATTTACCTCACCAGTATCCTTATCTTCACAAAAAGAGACTTCTAATACTCTGTCTACTTCAACGTAGTCTGGGTTAAATGGTTCTTCTTCCATCTAAAATTAAAAAGTAACTTAATTGAGATCAGACAAAGAAGTGGAAAGGTTCAAGCAGAGACAAATTTACTAGCATTTCACTACAGAACGTAAGTTTAATTTCAATTAAATTTCCAATAAATGGAATTTTTCCATTTTCATTTCCCAAAGATACCGAGGATATTATGAATAACCACGTTATAAATAACAACACCAACCAAATAGCAGTAAAATATAAGGTATTCCAGACAAGTAAGTTAGACTAGAAGATATATTCCTTAAAAATACCCTGAAAGCAGCCTCCATACCTTTCCTTTGCTACTTTACTCAGGTTGCAAGAGTTGAAGACCAATCATCCCATATGTAGGCTTATTTCTCAGTTGTATCAAACACTCTTTATCTTGACCTGATGGTTCCTATGCTCAAGACCCACTTATCTAGCCAAATGCAAACTCTCTACTTAAGCTACCTCAAACTCAATTGCACTCATTATTCTTCAACCCACACCTCCTCTTGTATTTTCTAACTGGATTAATGGTAACATAGCTCCCTCTCCATGGCCCACACTCAGTTACACAAGCCAGAAATGGAGAAGTCATTTTAGAGTCCTTCTTTTTCTTTACCATCCCCCCCACATTTAATAAGTCACCAAATCGTATAGATTCTAGTTTTAACCATAACTCAGACTGGTTCATCCTTCCTCATTCTCACTTCTTACCTGGACCTTTATAAATAACCCCAACTACTGTCTTGCCTTCCTCTAATCTGTTTTTCACATTGTCCCCAAAGTGACCTTTCTCAAATATAAATCTTACAAATTGCTCCCTTGCTTAAAATCCTTCACTGACTTTCCCATGTTTGGGGATCAGGTCCATATTTTTTTTTTTTTTTTTTTTTTGAGACAGAGTCTCACTCTTTTGCCCAGGCTAGAGTGAGTGCTGTGGCGTCAGCCTAGCTCACAGCAACCTCAAACTCCTGGGCTCAAGCAATCCTCCTGCCTCAGCCTCCTGAGTAGCTGGGACTACAGGCATGCGCCACCATGCCCGGCTAATTTTTTCTATATATTTTTAGTTGTCCAATTAATTTCTTTCTATTTTTTTTAGTAGAGACAGGGTCTCGCTCTTGCTCAGGCTGGTTTCAAACTCCTGAACTCAAACAATCCGCCCGCCTCGGCCTCCCAGAGAGCTAGGATTATAGGCGTGAGCCACCGCACCCGGCCCATATTTTTTTTTTTGAGACAGTCTCTCACTCTGTCACCCAGGTTAGAGTGCCGTGGCGTCAGCCTAGCTCACAACAACCTCAAACTCCTGGGCTCAAGTGATCCTCCTGCCTCAGCCTCTACGAGTAGCTGCAACTACAGGCGTGTGCCACTGTGCCCGGCTAATTTTTCTATTTTTAGTAGAGACGGGGTCTCACTCCTGCTCAGGCTGGTATTAAACTCCTTAGCTCAAGTGACCCTCCTGCCTTGGCCTCCCGGAGTGCTAGGATTACAGGGGTGAGCCACCACACCTGGCCCCATATTAGTTTTTGTGGAATAAACGGGATCCTATCTTTTCTTCCAGCCTCACCTCCCATTGCCTGTCACATCTTTAACTCAGACTTCATGCTCCAGAAGTAAAAAACATGATTTTTCAAACTCCATGTTCTTTCACACCTCCATGTGTTTACCCTCATTCTTCTTTCGTCTGACTAGATTTCTGTCCCTTGTCTTACCTGCTGGGCTAATTCCTACTCATCTCTGAAAGTCCTACTATCAACAGCCATATCAGCTTTCTTTGCTGCCTCTCTTCCTCTGCTTATCCTCCAAATGCTGTGGTACTCCACAGCTCTGACTTTAGTTCTCTTCACTCTCTTAAACCTCTGCGGAATGATACTATCACTCCTATGGTTTTATAGAGGATACACCTGGTAACAAAGTACGATGCTGAACACTAGAATGGTAACTTGGTACTTTAAGATTAAAAAAAAGTGGTAACTGAGGTGATAGATATGTTAATTAGTTTGAGGTGATTATTTCACAATGTATAGGTATATCAAACCATCAGATTGTGTATCTTAAAAATATACAATCATCAAATATACCTCAATAAGAAAACTCAAACAATACAAAAGGAAACTTCACTAGTTAAATGGAAAGAAAAAAAGAACAGAAAAAAGAAAATTTGCATAGTTCCTTTTTATGTTGTATCCCGAGTCAGGTAAGAAAAGTTAATCTTCATGAAAAATTAAAGACCAATCAAGTCCTTCTAAAATCTTCAGCTCATTAGGAACTTCTAGATCAAAGTAAACAGGTGAGAGATTTTTGAGGAGCTGGGAGGACCGCCCAGCATTCACAACTGACAAATTATTAGAATACTCCTATTTTTGAGGTCGATTTAATAATTACAAAGGAGATAACAATAATTTCATGGTGGAGATATCTAGCAGGTACCACCTTAATGTAGAGATCAAAGTTAAAAACTACCAGTAATGGGGCAAACAGGTACCATGCACCACCTGACAGCATTCACTGAGAATAAAGCATCATTTCTATGGTGTTCTTTTAAAAAATGCCTAACCTGAATTGTGAGGAAACACTACACAACCCGAAACTGAGGACCGTTTTACAAAATAAATGAGCTGTACTCTTAAAAAATGTCCAAGAAATGAAAAAACAAAGACTTGACTAAGGAAGACATTACAACTAAATGCAACATGTGATGCTGGATTACATTCTGAACTAGAGAAACCCACACACTTTTATATCATAAAAACACTAGTGGAACAATTAGTGAAATATGAATAAGGTCTGTAGATCACATAATAGTACCACATCAATGTTAACTCTACTATTTTTATGTAAAACAATGTATTTGTTTTTAGGAAATAAATGCTAAAGCATTTACAACTCACTTTCAAATGGTTCAGAAAAAATGTGTGCGCACGACAGAAAGAGAGAGATGGAGAGAGAGAGAATACAAATGATAAAGCAAACATGGTAAAATAGTAGCATTTCGAAATCTAGTTAAAACGTGTGTGGGAATTTGTCTTATAACTATTTTGTTTAAAAGAAAGAGTTTTTTAAAATTTCTAATTAAAAAAATTTACAGCAGGAAAGAACATTGAACCATTTAGTGAGGCCTAGCAAGGTAATGAATTTTTTCAATGATGCTCTTTTCACACACACACAAGGCTGGTATAGAAAATATGCAATATATTTCATGTACCGAAAAATCTTATTTTCTGTTTATTTGCTACATTATTGCTTCCTTTACTTGAATAACTTTGCTGATAAATTCTTTGTGATATTAACACACCCACATTCAACTCTGACTATTGAAATACAGGCTAACTTAAAAGTACAAACATTATCTACCGTTCTGAATTATCAGTGTTCCTGTTCCAGCTAATTTCCAAGCTAATTTTGGGAAGAGAAAAATACTATATGTAGATAGCATTTGTATTCAAATATCAACGTTGGAAGCCTAAGAATTAAAATAATAATGTTTGATAAATAATACTACATGTGTTCAGAGTCCAACACATAATAGTCTTATTTATTTTTTTCTTACGTCTGCAAAAAAATGTGCTCTTTGTGCTTGTCTCAATTTGAATCGTTTGATTTTCTGCTGGATCCTTTTATCTTTCAAAAGTTGCTGTTCTGTGGCCCACTCACAGTGAAGATAGGAGCTAAAATTTTTATAAAAGCAATATATTAGAATGACACAGAAAACCATGTTTTTCTAGATGTATTTTAATCATAACATCCAATACAAAATATTACTTTCAACCTTACAAATAGGAAGTTTATTATTTCATTTAATTTTAATAGACTCCATATAGTTTCTATTATAAAATAAAGTCATTGTGATCACTATATTCTAAGGAGATTGTACTCTAAAAGGTCTACAATTTGGCATATAGAAACAGAATGATAAAATGATTAAAAGTTTAATAGTAAGATGCGATTTATCTTTTATTTTTTTTATAGAAACAGTTTTGTCATGATTATAAAGCTAATTTGTTTTGACACCAATATAATTTTATTTAAAATACTTTCATGGAGGTATAGAGAAAAGCTGGAAAGTGAACAAAAAGAAGAGTAACGATTTTCCTACAATTATCAACTCTTAATTAATTTACCTATGACCAAGATTAAAATTTAAACTTCTAATGTCAAATCATCACATTGTGTACATCTGACACAAAAAACTTAAAGATCAGAAATGCTTTCTTTTTTTAAGAGATGGGGTCTCGCTATATTGCCCAGGCTGGCCTTGAACTCCTACCTACGCTCATGCAATTCTCCTGTCACAGGTAGATCAGAAATATCTTTTATAAAAACAGTAAAATCTGAAAAGTTCAACAATACAAGTACAATGAGTAATGTCTCCAATTTGTAAAAGCATATTTTATAAAGATTCCTGCATTTTGATAATACGTAATATTTTCTGGGGGAAAAAACATTCACTTTTAACATGAAAGGTTTTCAAACAGACCCTTTTCACTTTTTAATGATTTTTAGGTTCATACAATTATAAAGAATAAAAATTATCATTTTAAAAATAGATGAAAATGAAAAGCATCATTTTAACTTTACATATTTATATACTATTAAATATATTAATTTATATTTCAGTCAACATCTTTCAATTATTTTTCTAACTCAAATACTTACTAATTCTTGTATTTTACAAAAAATTCTTCTGTATCAATCATCACTCCAGGTGATATCTAAGAAAATAAAATCAATAATTGTGACTCTTTTAAACAGGACAGAAAATATGAAGTGTAAAATGTAATGCATCATTACTTACTTCCTTTTTTACAATTCTACAAGATAATATTTTGTCTACAATTGCAGCATCTTCTTCACTCGGATTCTCCTATGGGGGTGAGGGAAAAAAACAAGATGGACCACATTCAGAAAAGTCTTTTAGTTGCTACTTTGTGTGTTTATGAATAACACTAATATTCAACAAAAATTTATTGGCATATGTGCTGGGCACTATGATAAATATTAGGAATATATAAATGGAAAAAATACATCACCATTGTTATTGTCTCTGTCATCATCTACGTCATCATCATCATAGTAAACAATTGTGCTTTTTTTTTTTTTTTTTTAAGACAGAGTCTCATTCTGTCACTGGGCTAGAGTGCAGTGGCATCATCATAGCTCACTGTAACCTCAAACTCCTGGGCTCAAGCGATTCTCTTGCCTCAGCCTCCCAAGTCAGCTGGGACTACAAACGCACGCCACCATACCTGGCAAATTTTTCTATTTTTTGTAGAGACAGGGTCTTGCTCTTGCTCAGGCAGTTCTCAAACTCCTGGCCTCAAGCAATCCTCCTGCCTCAGCCTCCCGGAGTGCTAGGATTAGAGGCGTGAGCCAGCACACCTGGCCCCATATTGGGCTTTTTAATGTGCTAGGCATTATTCTAAGCACTTTACATATATTAACTAATTTAATCTATTATCATCTCCATTATTACCACCAGTATTACCACCAAGGTCCCAGGCTCACTCAGCTATCAATGAGTGGCTTGCAATGCAGACAAGGGGGACTAAAAGAATTATAGAAGAGCAAAGTGCATATGTAAGGCATAGAGGTGTTAAAACATGGCATTCTGGCAACTATGTTCATGAAACAGACAGCTAAGTTGCAGGAGATGAAACCAGAAAATCCAAAGGGCTTTAATATACTATGTTGAAAAGGCATCATTATTTTTGTAAGATTTAGGAAACCCCATTCAATCTAGCAATTCCACTACTGGGTATCTACCCATAGAAAAAGAAGTCATTTTTATAAAAAAGACACCTGCACCCAAATGTTTATTGCAGTACAATTTACAATTGCAAAGATATGGAATCAACCTAAGTATCCATCAACTAATGAGTAGATAAAGAAAATGTGGTATATGTATACCATGGAGTAGTTCTTAGCCATAAAAAGAAATGAAATAATGTCTTTTGCAGCAACTTGGATGGAACTGGAGACCATTACCCTATGAGAAATGTTTCAGGAATGTAAAAACAAACACCACGGGTTCTTACTTATAAGTGGGAGCTAAACGAAGGATATATACAGTCATGAAGCAGCATAATGGACATTGAAACTAAGAAGGAGGAGAGTGGAGGGAGGGATAAAAACCTACCTATTGGGTACCTTGTACACTACTCTGGTGACGGGTATACCGAAAGCCCTGACTTTAGCATTATACAATTCATTCATGTAACAAAAAAACACTTGTACCCCCTAAATCTACTGAAATAAAAAAAAATTAAAAAAAAAAAAACATTAGAGGAGTTTTCAGTAGAAAATTAATGTGATTAGACTTGTAATTTAGAAATATTCTGCAGAAAGGATAGAGTTTAGAGGAGTTTTAGGAATATATATTTAAGAGGTAGAAAATGTGGTGACAACTTGGATGAAGAAGCAAAGGAAAATGAGGAAAAGAAGAATCCCTAGGTTTCTGATTTGAATGACTCTGTCAACTAATAACATGGAATCCTGGAGGACAGGTTAGAACAGTTTTTAGGAGGAAAAACAATCCAAGTATTTTATAGAATTTATGCTGGTTTAAAATGTTTTGTAGTCATAATCCCAAATATGTCTTACCACAAATAATTGTAAAGGCTGTTCGCCAGGCAAAGGAGCTGAATTCTTTTTTATTTTCACAGAGCATTTAACCTCTTCTTCAGATTGTTTCCCTTCTGCATCTTCTGCATATTTTTTTCTTTTAATTTGTCGATTTGATCTTCTTTTCTGCAATGAACCACAAGGATCAGATTTATATATTTTGAAAGAACAGTTTTTAAAATCACTACCCCTAAAGTTGGCAACTTTGTACATTAAATTTTTAAAATTACAATCAACGCTCCTCTTTTCCTATCTTGCTTTTTACTTAAAAGAGTATAACTCGCCCTTTGCTACAACCTTACAATCTTCCTGAAGTTTTACTTCCCATAATTTCAGATAACAAAGATTAGTAATACCTTTATTACTTTTCTTTGGAAATTGTTAAGAATAAAGGGGTATCTCTTTTTAAAAGCTATTTCACAGGTTGGGCAAAATATGTTTTATTAGTAATACCTTTATTCCTGTATTACTTTTCTTTAGAAACTATTGTTAAAAGTTATCTGTTTTATTTAAGTATGTCACATCTTGGGCAATACATACTTTAAACTATTAATACTTTCACAGTTTTTGCCCCAAATCTAAAATGTGTATCAGATGAATACTGGCTAAATAATTAATTGGGTACATGAATCTGGAAGAAGAAATTAAATAATATTTGCCAAAACATGTGAAACTGTGTTTAAAGCAGAATAAAATAAAATAAAATATTTTAAAGGAAATATACAAGATAATAAAGAATTAAATCTACCAAATAATTAAATTTGAATGAAGGAAGAAACTGTTTCACTAACCTTACTACTTTTCCTTGAAAATAAAGAACATCACTATCATCAAACAAAATTAAGCCTTTTACAAAGTATTATACAGTAATATAATTTTAAATAATCTAAGCAATTTAAAATCGGGACTCAAAATTCACATGGCTTTACTTACCTCCCTAAATATCTACTATTTATTTCAAAAGTTTTATATTGCAAGGAAAACTTAAAAAAAAAAAAAGACTCACAAAGTTACACATCTTTTGATGTGTCCACTATAAAAGCAAAATCTCAATTTGGTTTGAAAATCTGAAGGGGCTTAGGTTTACTTTTTTTTACTTCCCTAAAATCTCATGGAGTACAGGCAGCTCAGTCAACTGTTCTACTGCTCAACATTTGGTAAATCTATCCCTTCTTTATTCTATTCCATTTTCTTCTATATATTTAGTAGCTTTCACAACACTCCCCAAAAATGGAACCGGCAAAATAACCCACAAGTTCTTATTTTGGTTTCTGCCTATCTTCTGTTTGGCAGGTCTTTCATTTACTTCCACAGCCATGACAAAATTGGCTGAGTCAGTGCTGCAGTGTGGCTACAAACTGTTATTTGTATCCAGTAAGACTGCAGTGGGCTTTAAAATCATGCTGCTGACTCTTTCTCTTATGAAAAGTAGAATATTGAGAGAAACAAAGGCACCAATATGGTCAGTCAAATGTGGTAGACAACTCCACACCTCATTTAGGATGGATGGGCCACTGTCTTTTGGCCATGAAGACATTTAGACTTTCAAATCTCAAAGTAACACTTCTTATGGGAGACTGGCAGGTGGTATATAAAAATTATAATAAAAGGACTACTAGAAACCCAATTTTCCCACATCCTATTTTGAAAAAGATATGAATTATTTATTTTTCCCTGGTGAGGAAAATTCTGTGGATTTCTAACACTAAGCTAAAAGAATATTTAGAATTCTATAATGGGCATGATACAGATCTTAATGTTCAAGAATAGTTTAAACTAATAAACAACTGTAACATTTATTATTCTAAAAATAACACGTATTTATTAATGTCTCACTAGGCATGACTTCTAAATAATGAAGTTTGAGAATAATTCAGTACATTTTTAGAAAATTCTGTTAGATGTTTTCAGCATTATAGTTTCCTTTCTGGTCACTTAGGCATCTGTTAGTACTTAGAAACATCTCAGTTAGTCTTTAGTAAATAGTAAATGAGTGACCTGAAAGAATTCTTCAAACTCACAAAAAGTGCACACTCAGGTAATTCTTCACAAAATACAATGAGGGCCACTTATTGTAAAACTCCTCCTTTATCCTATGAAGACTTTATCAGTCTAACAGATTAATTAAAAAGTCCATGAAAGTATGAGATTATAGATGATTTTACCATAAATTATATGCCTCTAGAGTATATAGTTATACATTAATAAGGAAAAGCCAAATAAGGTGTCACTCTCACCATTTATCTTTCTCTGTCATACAGCATATCTACTAGTTTAAAAATATAAAAATTAATCTGATGTCCATATTTTTAGCTAATGTGCTTTTTTTCTGGCTTTCTTTCTCCATAATGTTTTTTTTTTTGAGACAGAGGCTCACTGTGTTGCCCGGGCTAGAGTGCCGTGGCATCATCCTGGGATGTGGAAATAGTGCAAGCAAAGGCCCAG